TTTTGGTATAATCTTCCTGAAAATAAATGTCGGTATTATACATGTATTTTTGGATTGTTGCTTTTTTGTCACATGAGGAAGGGGTTTGAGTCAACTGTCTACTGTGATAACTTGCATTGTCCATTACAATGACGCTATTAGGAGGAATGTTTGGAACTAGTTTGTTTTTAAACCAACTTTCAAATAAATCAGCGGTGGTGTCTTCATGGTAATCCAGAATAGAATCTTAAATATTTTTCGCAGACAGAGATAGTCCATTTGGAATCCAACCATCTTTATAGCCAGCATGCAAAATAGTTATTCTTTTACCTTTTTTTGATGGCGCGTTTATTTTACACTTATCAGTTGAGTCAACCCAAACCTTTTCCGGGGTATCATAAGTGTCGAACCAGGTTTCATCCAAGTAAGCCCTTGTTGTTCTCTGTAAATCCTAATTTTACTTGCCTTTTGTCAATTTTTTTAAATCTAAAACCCATGTGTTGAATACACTTCCATAAGGTAGTTCTGTCACATTTAACACCGGTTTCATCTTTTCAAGCCTCCTAATTAAGATATCTAATGTAGGCACGCTTTGTTCCTCGTATAACTGGTACATTTTACGCCATATTATATCTTGATCATTTTCAACTTCACTCGAGAAAATGTCAGCATCGCTTCTTTTTTTCCACGTTCAATGAGAGTCAAATAAACATTGTTTATAACTTCCTTAGTCTCAATAGAATAGTGTATTCTACATTTGGGCGGGAGCATCTCCTGAGATACACTAGACTCGCACATATTTTGCATAATTCGCACACGATTCAACACACGCTGTATTACACACGAAATAAGAATGATCACTAATAAACTTAAACTAAGTAGTATACCAAACCCAAGAATATTAAACACAGGTAGGTATAAAATTATTTTCTATTAGGGACCACAATTTTATCTGAATTTAAATTCCAAAAATTTAGGTAATAATCTTGTTTCATTTTATGTTAATGACCACCCTTGAATCATCCCATTCAAAAGCAATTGATCACTTTCTTATATCTATGAACAGACCATACATCTGTACTGTTACAACAAATATATAAAATATACAGGGTGTTTCAAAATTCAATATCAAGGTTTTAATTGTACATTTAGCAACCACATTTTACTCTGTTTTTTATATAAACATGTATTCTAACCTGCTTTATTAATTACACAGGCACTTTTTATCCGATGTTGGCAAAATTTTGTAGTCATAAGGGTCTTTATTTTGTTTTTGTTATTTTATTTCTAGATCATTTTCCTTTATGTACCTGACCCAAATAAGTATGCCCAAGTTTTATGAAAATAATTTTAAATTTTTATGAATTATTAATAAAAAATCCATTTCATGGAGGGCAACGGTTCGTTATTTTTATCGATGAAGCTAAATAAAAATAAACAGCAGGATCAAAAAATTCCATTTTTGATTACTCTAAAAAATTATCAAGTCTTCACAAAAAGTTGTTGAGTAATCAATAAATAACCGTTTTTTTAAATAAATTTTGACATTCTGTATCTTTAAAACGAGGAATATGGAATAAGCACTCATGTAATGTAAGTTGTACATTATGGTCCACAAGTGAACCCGTGAAAGCAGAATTAAAACACTCTCCGCGAACATCTCCTACACTTGAACCTCAATAAAGAAGATTCTTACACGGGCGTTCGTGCTTGTAATCGTTATTTCGCATTTTTAATTGCGAGTTTCACTTAACCCGGTGTCAATTAAAACAGTTTTGACAAGGTTACACGCTAATTACCGCGATAACGGTTCCAAACGGTCGCGACTACAAACCGGTCTCGTAAAACGAAAAATAGACGTTAAAAATTGATGAAACGCAAAAAGGACTAAAGTGCCCGCCACGATCAGATTTAATGGCGGTTCTCTTATTAAAGCGCCCTCGTGTTTGTATGCGCGAATGGGTGCTTATCAACCACAACAATCGACGTAGCAAGCGAGAGTTGTTTTGTTAAACTTTATGTAGTTACATATTGTTTATTACTTCTTATTGTCCGGCGAGAGATTTGCCGGACGTCTTATCACAATCTAACTAGAAATTCACATCCTGGGTGAAGGGTTTGTTATTCGAAACAGCGAAATAGCCCGACATTAAATTAGAAATTTTCAGTAGGCGACGCTGACCTTTTCGGAATCATTTGGCACAATTTTATCATCTCAGCTTAATATTCGCTAACTGAATCTCAAAGATATAGGTTGGACCCAATGAAGTTCTAATTCGGTGACGTTTCTTGTGTTAAATTTGGCTGCCTGAGCCGCTTCCTGACAATTAATGAATAGAGGATGACAAACTTCTTCGCGCTATGTTTAAAGGTTTAATTGGTCCCGGCTTCCATCGGACTGCCTTTAAACTCACCAAAAATCAAAGAATTTTCTGTAACTCTTCCGATGGCTTGCCGATAATTAGTATTGGGACTGATCAATTGACCGTGGTTACTTTGTAGAATGTTATCTATCGTTATTTAATAATAATATATTTTTATAATAAATTCTCATCACGCATTGCATTGATTTTGTTCGCCGTGCTGAGTTAAGTATACATGATAGTCCTACCAATTTCTGGTCATTTATTCAGCGTAGGAAGGCAGATTCGCGAATCCCAGCCACGATGTCCTATTCTAATCAGCCATGCCATGGGCCTAATATGGTTGTTGCAGCTTTTGCAAAGTTCTTTGGTAGCGTTTACACCATATCCCAGCCAGATGCATGTTCATCTTCAACCTTATCCTTTAATTCCCGATCTAGTCAATATACCTAAGTTTACCAACCAGGATGTCTTATCAGCAAGGAAAGCACCCAAAAATAAAATTACCGCCGGCCCTGATGGCATACCAAGTGTTATCATGAAAGACTGTTCCCACGCACTGTGTGCTCCTTTATGTCACATTTTTAACCTGATATTTGAAATGGGTGTTTATTCAGAACCTTAGACATTTGTCAAAGTTTATCCTATTCTCAAAAAAAGTGATCTTTCTGTAGTTGAAAACTACCGACCTATTTCGATCTTGCGCATTTTTTCTAAAATATTCGAAATTATATTAAATAAATTCATTTTTGCTTAAATTAGAAATAAACTATCTAGCAAGGTCATGTTGACGTAATATACACTGACTTCCACAAAGCGTTTGACCAGACCATCACTTAATGATTGAAAAAGCATCTCAAAAATTTGGTTTCTCCGATTCGCTGATTACAGTGTTGAGGCCCTATCTGGTGAACCCTCGACAGTTCGTTGGGATTCAGCGGTTTAGATCAGTTCCTTGTGTTCCAACTTCTACCTATACGGGTGACCTAAATCTTAACATCAGCAAGTTTAATGTGGTTTCTTACCACCGCACAAAAACTCCTATAGTTTTTGATAACTATATGGATCTGGGGATTTTATTTGAACAGACGTACTCTTTTGTACCTCATATTACTAAAATGGTTTCTGGTGCAATGCAAAATTTAGGATTTTTGTAGCTCGGCTACTGTTAAATTGTTTTTGAACTATTACGTTAGGTTTAAGCTTGACTATAGCTCGCTGGTATGGTCACCAATATATAACTACCACACTCAGTCCATTGAGAGTGTGCAGAGAAGATTGCTGAAGTATCTAATGTTCAAGAAGAATGGTGCCTACCCTGAGAGGGGAGTTGATCATGATCTTTTGATGAGAAGATTCGCTTTACTACCTCTGAGGCTCCGTAGAGCAATCTGTTTCATTTCTCTATAAGTTAGTTCATAACAGAGTCGATTGTCCGTTTCTTCTGGAACAATTCCGTTTTCATCGTTTTCTTACAGCAATTACATGTCCAATATCAATTTTCAAAGTCCTGTTTTCAATATATGTGTTACTTTCAACAAACTATAATCGCACTGCGATTTATATTATCATAGCAATACTTATCATACCAGTACCGATAAGTCTTATGCTCTCCTTTCTCCTTCTTTTCTTCTTTTTTTTTATAAGATTACTAGATTTAAGATTAGTTTTTATGTCCCGTGGTATATATATTTGGTGATTTATATTTAATATTTCCTGTAATTGGATCAAGTTACCTGTTGGAAATAAAGTGCTATTATTGTTATGCGTTTATACCGTCATACTTCTTTTACCTTTACCTATTCAAGAAATATCTGAATACGATTCGGGGAAATGCAATCATAATGGTCCCCAGAATGATGCAACTGGACGCAACGCGCAATATAAATAAATATAAATATAAAAAATAAATAAAATATTAATTTCATGGGATTTTAAAAATTATTTCTCAATTGACCGGTCAAACGACACAAAAATTTTGATATTTTTCATAATTCGTATTTTTTAATATTTACTTTTTTGTTTGTTTACTTTGGTAATCAAGTAACAATTTTAGCGATATAATGCAACTTTTGCCCTTTTTCTTCATGAAGACTTACTTTGTACAGACTCACGTTCTGACCGCAATAGTCGACTTCGCTAATACGATTATTACATTTTTAAATATATTAATTAGTTAGAAAACAACACTACTGGAGATACGTTTCTTTTCTTCGGTTGAATACTTTGGTTTTGCAACTTACAATAATGGAATGGTCTTCTTCGTCGACCTGACTACCAATTACAGCGTTAGCCACAAGTTGGTAGATTCTTGTTGGACAAAAAGTAAAATCATCCCAGAAATTTGCTGTTGCCATTGTGCATTCTAAGATTAAAAACGTTTTTATAAAATGTCGCAATTGAAAAAACTGGCAACAGTTCCCGTAATATGTATATTGCAATATTATCATTTCAGTAACTAATTAAAAATGTTCAGGTTTTCAAAAATATGAGATTAATTTTTATCGTGCCTTTAAAACAATTGTAAACGAAATGGGCCAATTTCAGGTTTAATAATATATTTTGTACCCTTAAGAAGTGGAATTAATCTAGCCTCATGATAAAAGCTGTACTTACTAACTTGTCCCTTATCCCTAACTAAGGTAAAATTATTTGCAGGGTATTTGTCCGGCCAACAGGCTTAGACTAATTCCAGGAGTGTTCGAAGACTCCGGACAATCGAGGGTGTGTTCACCTCAGTTCACGGATATTCACGGCGAACTCAATTATCTCCAAAGGCAAGGCAAAAGAAGAAGCTGGCACGTCCATCCCAATCAGGTAACCAAAAATTGTAATTTTTCTTGTCGATGATTAAGTCGGAACGACTTTTCACTTTTTCGAAATAATTGTATAAGCTACACCCGAGTCCCTAAATCGAATGAAACATTCCAGTTCTTCGGCGACGGTTTCCAGCTCTGTTTCCATGGGAACCTTGTCAGTCTGGAAAATATCGATTCGTTATTTAGGCGGCACCTAAATCGACAATACTTGGACGGGGCGTTTCGAATTTTGTTTCAGTTTTATTTCGCCAAAAAATAAATCTAGCAGTTTATTGAACACATTTCTCGAGTTGACATTATTTTATCATATCATTTTTTAAAAACGTATAATAAAAAAGTATTTAAAAGCTAATAGCCGTTCCTTACTTATTTCAGAATAAATGTACGAGGTCATGTAAAAAATTTATTCTACCCTACTTTATTGTTTGTATATATTATGTTTTTCTTATGATAGTTGTATAAATGTATTTTAAAAAACAACCTCAATTATCATTTTCAATCATTTACATTTGTAAATTAGTTATATTGAAAACATTAAAGCATATGCTTCAAACACTCGACTGATTGCATAATTTTTCTGGCTCTGATGTTGTCCCCAATCTATTTATTTTAGATTAATAAAATTATATGCAAAATAGCAGGTGCCTTTAAAGACAAGTTAAATATAAATCTTGAATTTGAAGCTTTACTCATAAAAAAAAAGTAAATTAAAAATATATTTAAATTTTAATACGATTTAAATCGACGAATCTTGTGCGATTGCTCGCTCCAGGAAGGTCCGATCATTTTATGATAATGTCACCAAATCTGATATTTTTGTGAACACCCCTATTATCGAAAATGCTAATTTTTTTATAACAGCTGTATACAAGTATATATTTTGGAAAATCCCACATTATTCTGTCACAGAATATTACAAAATTTAAAGCGTTGACGCAAAATTGCACGTCTACACGCTCGGTTTAAGATTTTCTCGGATTATAGGAAGTGTTCAAGTTTCGCAGTCTGCCACCACACAGGTTTGCCCCCCTCAGGCGCCATATTAATTTTCAATGACTTTGTGTTTTACGCAATATTAGATATTCACCTATCGGCGATAATAACTAGCCATTTTTAATGTTCGCTGCAAATTAAGTAATTTGTCTGTTTTCAAGCTTGAACGATTCTTAACCGCCCAATACGTGGGAATTTAATATTATTTTTTAAATTCTGGACGCGAATGTACAAAGGTGATATTTAATTATTAAGTGTCCTATATTTCACAGCGTGATTTCTCCAGTATTTTTGAGTTAAAATGTTACTATAAGAGTATGGTCTATAATGCCTCGTTTTATGAATACAGGAGGTCAAAGTTTTATTTCTGTTTTTGGACTTTCTGCATAATTCCCTAAGTAAGACAATTTCTTGAAAACTGGAAGATCCTGTTTTATATTATCTAGTAGCTATATCGTTTTACCACACTTGGTGCAGTTTAAAATTTATTACCACAAAGTGGAGACTACATAGCAGCAAGAAAGTTGTTTTTCAAAAAACTTCTAAGTCATGTCGTATTCTGTTTTGTTTGACAAACAATGTACTTCTGCTGATGTTATTTTTAAACATTTTTTAAAGATAATTTACTGCAATTTTTTTAATTGGAATTACTAGTATAATTGTTTTTTTTTTCTTTATTCATTATTCATTTCATCATGTAAGTGACCTATATTGTTGCTTCTTAATACTTTATATTATTTAAGTGCATAAAAATCAAAACAAAATCTCCAAATATAAATATGGAAAAAGTTTTCAAATATAAAAACTAGTCCTGTCTAGTCACTGTATTTCCGATAAGTTTGTATATACGATACAAATTCATTCTACTTAATACACTAAGACACTTAACGATAGAACTAAAACATCAGGATCAGGTCAGCACTAAAATATTTCTAGCCCTTTCCAATGAAAAAGGAATTATCTAAACTGTTCACTGCCTAATACGCTGACTACAAATAACAAAAAGCAACTGAGGAAAAAATTACAATATAGCAGCATTGTTTCCATTTCCATTTATGCGAAACAATCAAGTTAAAACTATTCTGTGAAGCTTGAAGTTATCAGTTATGAGGGAATTAGGACATGATTCTGTTATGTTGGCAAAAAATTCTACTTATGACAATTATTATATAACTATGCATCCTGAAGCGGAAGTTCCCATAGCCACGGAAGGTGTTGAAAATTATACCAATTTACTAAGACACCGCAAGTTGCGTCGAGGAACTTTGTGCTATTAGCATAATAAGATTTTGGCTTGGTTCCAGCTGTTGAATTAACAATATTAACACATTTTTTTAATGGAACATTTAAACTTTTCCAACGCGTTACTGTTGTCAGTACTCCGTAAGTTTTTAAGCCAAGAGGTTCTTCTCCTCCCTTGACTCCTTTTGCCCCTGATGTTTCCTTCCATAATGTTCTGTAGCATTGCTTATTTAGGTCTTCCGATCACGTGGCCAAAGTATTCCAATTTTATTCTTTTTAGAGAGTTAATTATTTCCTCCTGTTTCTGTTTTTTTCCTCTTTAGCAGTTCCATCCATACCATACCATCTTTCAAAAGCCCCAAAAGATATGGACTAGATCTTTCTTTTTCAATGTCTATGCTTCTGACCCAGAAAGTAATGTTGAAAAAATGTTGATGCTTGATTACAATGATGCAAAGTTATATAAGTAGGAGAGCACAGTTAGTCGATACGGCACAAGTACAAGTACTGGTGGTGTTTCGGAAGGGTCGGTCCTGTCAGCATTTTCACCAGAAATATTATTAACTGTCTTATATATTGTTAATTGCACAATTATGTTGTTGATGATTATGGAGATGAAGTTTAGGGTCATGTAAAGAGAATAGATTTAAGAGGGTTCAAAAGTCTTATGATTGCAGATGGTTAAGTATAAAAAATCGAAGGAAACTACCTCTCAAATTACCTCTTTTAATGCCAGATCCCAGATGTCTTTCAAACAGGTGTTCATAATCTAGTCTGAGATTCCATTGGACCATCAGAGCTTTTTGTTAATTGTTCTCTAGCTTCTTAAATATTGTTATTTTATCGTTTTTGTGTTCTCCAATGTCGAGTGAGATCTTCAATTTAATCATACTATGCCACGTTTTGCAGAATGACCAAACGCCTTCTGCAGTTTTATTTGATCTACTTTCTCAAGGAGACTCTTTGGACAAACACCCTCTGCCGACGCCAGTTACGCTTTTCAGTTTACCTGTCTTAAGACTTTATTACCAAATTAACGTATTATAAGCTTTTTCTCGTGCTGTTTTGACCAAATTGTGAGGAAGAGCCGACTATAGCCGATAGTCTTATCGGTAGTGACGACACCAGTCAAAGACATTCTCTTTTAGGTTGTGCTTCGGGTAGTTTTCCATTTTCCAGATTTATCACAGGAAGGTGAGAGATTTAGTGCTATAAATCGGCGCTTCGTCGAGAAGTTGGGCAATACTTTTGGATAATTCTGCCTTCGATTGCACCAGACCTTCGTTTTTCGGAGAGGCTAGGTTTAGTGGGGTGAATGCGTCGATAGTGCCCCCTACTAGTCGCATATTAAGATGGGGTTGTTTTAGGAAGTATTTTCTCAACTTGCGTCTTAAATTACCGCACAATATTCTTATTATCGTTGTTATTACTAACACACAAAAGTAAATATAAGTTCAGTGAATAAGTACTGTTTTTTTTTTAATGATTGTAAAACTAATAATTTACAAAACATTTCGAAAATGAGGTTCATTTAATGATTCATTTTTATTTTTAGTATTATATTCCCAAATGTTGTTCGACTCGCTTCCGCAGCACTCAATTTAAAATGGCATCCGAATTATCAATGCATGTCATACTTCAGTGATTCAAAACCGTTCCGGCTCCTCTGCTCCCCGTTTGCCCGCAACTCCCGGATCGTAGAGGTGGGGGCAGAAACGGGAGTTGCATCAGTTTTGACCTTGCCCACGCATCGTGTCGCTCCCCCATTTTCACCTCAGCATCCGTAGCGGCTGTACGGTCTCCGTTTTTTTGGTGAACCGTTTTCACTGTCAAAATTATGTTGCCCGTCTAAAAATTGCAATTGGCCTCGCGGCGAAGTCAGCTTGAAGAACTCATGTCGTCCGAAATGATTAGTCCGACGGTATTTTGTTGACGTAAGTGATTTTTTTTTTATTACGTAGACGAGGAATTGGCTGCCCGTATCGGATTTCTCATTGCCCTACTTTTTATCCAAGTTTTGATTTAAGAGATATAATTTATTGGAATAGACATGCAATCTTTCGTCGTCGTCTAGGAGGAAGATAAGGGATTGCTATTTTTAGTAAGGCGGGCCGCAGAACGGAAAATCAATACGGCTTTTTCCTGGTCGACGTTTCCAGGTTGCACCCGAACTGCATCGGCGCAGGTCCTGCAAATCTGGTTGCATCCAGTTTATCGATCGAAAGTTGACCTAGATATTTCATTCGAGGCAAGATATTGCGCAACAGATTTTGCAGGGTTCTCAAATACCTCTTTTATATTCTCTTCAGATATCAACGGCAAGTTTATTTGTTAATGAACATATGATAATAATAATAATAAGTTTAAGTTACTAATAAATATAAAACTACTTATTGGAAAAACAATTAATATATTATATAAGGCAAAAAGGAATTAAAAGTAATTTAGGAATGATATCATAATTTATTAACGTCAAAAGAGGTAGCAAAGCAAAGCCAAAAAAAAACATCAATTAGTTATTGTATATATAACTCTGTGATAGTTAATAGTTTGAACAAATAAGAATTATTAAGATATGCCAGTGATGGTGAGGCTATGACACGCGTGTCATTTTTATATCTCATAACGGCCCGAGTTGGTTATTATAATATAATGTTGATTTTTGCATTTGAAATGATATTAACCAAATGATGAACTTATAAAAATAGTAATATTGCCGTTTTTCATTTAGTTTTCGCTTTAGTGATCACTGTACTAGACCAA